AAAAACTGGGATTCTTTTTAAAATTAGTCCAAAGTGGCATTTAGGAACTTAGTCGTAGGCTGCTGTGCTGACACCATGACAAACCAAAGTGTAGGGTTGGGTCTGGTTTTGTTTGGGTTTCTTTTCAATATCTAATGCTCATGGATTAAGTTCTAGAAATGTTCCAATTGTAAGGCAGGGATCTGTTTGGATTCCACCATGCGTATGCTCCTTGGGTTGGATGTCGGAGGGTGAGGCATGTTTTGGCAGACCCATGTCTACTATCTAGTAGTCAGGGGACTTACTATAGTCATCAGTTAAGTAGCACGTGTGGGAGACAGGAAATAAGAATGAACAATAAACCAATAGCACAATTGCATAATTCTTTTTTTTTTTTTTTTTTTTTTTTAGATAAGGTCTTGCTCTGTTACCCAGGCTAGAGTGCAGTGGCATGATCATGGTTCACTGCAGCCTTGAACTCCTGGGCTCTAGTGATCTTCCCACCTCAATCTCCTGAGTAGGTGGGACTACAGGTGTGTGCCGCCATGCCCAGATAATTTTTTTAAAGTTTTTGTAGAGACAGAGTCTCTCTATGTTACTGAGGTTGGTCTCAAACTCCTGGGCTCGAGTGATCCTCCTGCCTCAGCCTCCCAAAATGCTGGGATTAGCATGAGCCACTGTGCCTGATTGACAGTATATTTTAGAATTTGTAAAGTACTTTCTCCACATATAACCTTACTGATTATTACTTTACTCTTGGATATTATATCAGTTTTACAGGTAAGGCAGCTGAGGCTTAGAACTGTTAAAAATTTTATCCAAGTTTATAAAACTAGATCTAGTAAAGTCAGGACTTAAACCTAGGGCCTCCAACTCCTACTCTAAGGTTTCTTTTCCCCACTATACATTGACAGGCTCTAGAGGGTTATACAATACTTTAGCCACTTGTGGTGACTAAGAACACAAACCTAGGCTTTCGAGTCAGATGGCCCTGGTTTTAATTTTGTGTTGGTACTTATTTACTGTGTACCATGAGAAACTTGATTAATATCTGAGTCTCAATTTTTTTCATATGTAAACAAGGTAGAAGAAGAAGCTTATAAAAAACTCTTCTTAGAGTTTTTTGAGAAGATTAATGTGATAACATATATAGCCCTAGCATCATGCCTGAACCATGAGATCTCAATAAATAGTAGTCATCATAGTTGGGTATACAGGCAGTAAGTGAGGACACAGTGGACTGGTTGGTATATCTTCATGCTTCCCAGTCCTAGCTATGGTGTAAAACATTTTTTTTTCTTTCTATTAGACAGCTAGACATAATTATTGCAGGAGGTGGAAATGGGAATAGTGAAAACTAGGCTTTGAATGTTTAGTAGAAGGAAAGGGTGGGAGGCATATAGAGTTAATGAGTTTGTGACAGGCTGAAAGTGACAAAAAGGCATGGGAAAAGTCATAAGAAATCACTGCAATCAAGATGACCATTAGCCTGTACATCTTGCAACATTATATGCTACAAAGTGGAATGTGGCCGTAAACACAGAATAATATCTCAGTAGTCGCATTCACCAGTCCTGGTACCCACGTTGGTCACTGGTATATATTTCCTCTTGTCTGAGATGAAATGATAACAATATGGGATTTTTCTTTTCTTTTCCCTTTTTGAGATGGAGTTTTACTTTTCTTGCCCAGGCTGGAGTGCAATGGCATGATCTCAGCTCACTGCAACCTCCACCTCCTGAGTTCAAGTGATTTTCCTGCCTCAGCCTGCTGAGTTAGCTGGGATTACAGGCACCTGCCACCATGCCCAGATAAGTTTTGTATTTACAGTAGAAACTAGGTTTCACCAAATTGGCCCAGCTGGTCTCAAACTTCTGACCTCAGGTGATCCACTTGCCTTGACCTCCCAAAGTACTGGGATTACAGGCGTGAGCCACTGTGCCCAGCTGGGATTTTTCATAAAGCTAAATGTATTCATTTTAAACATCTGTTCTTTATTTTGACATGTCATTTTAGCTTTTGTTCAGATGTTAAAATTTTCTTTTCTTTTTCTTTTTTTTTTTTTTTTTGGAGATGAAATCTCGTTCTGTTGCCCAGGCTAGAGTGCAGTGGTGCAATCTCAGCTCACTGCAACCTCCACCTCCTGGGTTCAAGCGATTTTCCTGCCTCAGCTTCCAAAGTAGCTAGGATTACAGGCACCCACCACCACACCAGGCTAATTTTTTGTATTTTTAGTAAAGATGGGGTTTCACCATGTTGGCCAGGCTGGTCTTAACTCCTGACCTCAGTTGATTCACCTGCCTCGGCCTCCCAAAGTGCTTGGATTATAGGCGTGAGCCACTGCACCCAGCCTAAAATTTTCTTTTCTTTTGGAAGGTAATAGAGATAAGTAGCTGACAGTTTTTTTAAAGGTCCTTACTAGATGAAATAAAAAATTGACAAACATATATTCACTTTCCCCATTAAACTAATATTTATTTTTAAATACCAAAGTCTAGAAATCACTGAATCAGTTAATCTTTATATCTTCTTACATTTCTGGGAACCTGGGCTCTTAAATATCAAAGCAATTTCTCTATGAGACTACTCAGTAGGTACTAAGCAGAGTGTTTCCAAGGAGACATCAACGCATCTAGTTCCTGACAGTTCATATTTTATTTTATTTTTAAAAATTTTAGTTTTAATTTTCTGAGACAGAGTCTCACTCTTGTCGCCTAGGCTGGAGTGCAATGGCACCATCTCGAAGGCTTACTGCATCCTTCACCTCTCGGGTTCAAGCACTTCTGTCTCAGCCTCCTGAGTAGCTGGGATTACAAGTGCCTGCCACCTCGCCCAGCTAATTTTTGTATTTTTAATAGAGATGGGGTTTCACCATGTTGGCCAGGCAGGTCTCGAATTCCTGACCTCAGGTGATCCGCCCGCCTTGGCCTCCTGAAGTACTGGGATTACAGGTGTGAGCCACTGAGCCTGGTTTGATAATTCTTATTTTATACAGAGGCCCAATACTTTTCTCGGAGGAAATTATAATCTAAAACAATACAGAGATGCAGATTGCTGTTACCTAGCATACAGAAGATCGTATAGAAACATCAATCTAATATACTGATTAACAATGAACTACTTACAGCATATAATTTAGGGCTAGATGAGAGGCAAGACAAAAACCATGATATGGTATGTGTGTGGTAGCTATTTGCAAAGAGTGTCTCTGGAGAGCTAAACCCAAACTAAACCAAAAGACCAAACAATAAAATCATCTTTGAGACCAACAAGGGCTAACCCCGTAAATATCACTGATTTCTTTCCCCTGATGTCCTCTTTAGAATTACTTAGAATTTCAGTGGCTGGAGTAGAGAAATAGTTTTCATCAGGAATTAAGCACTTTGTTTTTTTGATTTTGATTTTAATACCACATACAGATTCTGATAAAAACATTAAATACTACTTAAGTTAACGAGGCCAGCAAACCATTACACAGTAGTTGGGTTGGTAAGCAAAAATGGTAAAAATTCATAATTAAGCAGATTCTCATTATACTCAAGCTCATTCTTGGTCACAAGAATAGGTATTTTTGAAAGGTATATTAATTATAGACATCTAGTGGGTATATTTATTCAAATTGTCATCCACCAGTCCCAATTAACATGGCTTCTAAAAGTGCATTCACTTGTAAGCCAAGGGTTATTTAGGCCCTTGGAAAATCTGGCTCATTGTCAAAAATATATAACTAAAAGAGTTCTTAATATAGCAGATGAACTAATGGCTTTACAAGGTAAGTGTTTTCTGAAGGAGATGGCCAGGGAAATGTTAATAATTGGGAAAACGAATTATTGAACAGAGACCCAAAACATAATTTACTGTGACAAATAAAACTATTTATTTTTCACATTCTTCTGGAGAGGGGCATATTATTTCAGTGTCGAGCATGATTGGATTTACCATTAATTTATTTCACAGAATTTATTGAATGCCTACTAAGTGCTCCGGTCTGGGAACACAAAGACAAAAGTGTTTGCTCACCATGCTGTTGCCATCTCTAAGAGGTGCTCAGTACATACTTAAAAATTACAAAAATTTTGATTGAAACTTATACCACACCACACACCTACACCTACACACACACACATACATGCACACACACACATGCACAGTTTAAAGGATCTAAATGTGTTAGAAATGTTCAGGAACTGAAGGAAATAGGCCTTAGGTCTGGAGCCAACATCCAGTACTTCAGTATGTAACAGCTTGATTTAAAAAAATTATCTTTAAATAATATGACTTGCATTTGCTTTCTCCCATATCCTCATTTTATGCAGTCCTATTTCTAGAAGTTCTTCATGGCACTTCACAGATGAATGCAACACAATGTCGATTTCCTGGGTGCTTAGGTTAGTAGATGTCCTTCAGGGAATTTCAGCTGAAGGTCATCTACTCCAGCTCTTTTCAGATTTGTTAATCCTGGTCTGGAGGGAGGGAAGAGGAGACATGTTGCTGTTACCCTTGTGCATCCACCCCTATGGAAAACCCTTGTTCTGCATTTTAGGATTTTGCTTGTTTGATACCAAGGAGGCCCTTGGACGCTTCTGCGATTCTGCCTGCCCACACTGCATTAAGTAGTTCTCTTTATCTGCCAAGTAGAAGGCCCATTTTGTTTCAGAAAGAAGCTGAAAGTTGGGCCCAGCAATGTGACCGCAGCAAACTGCGCCTAACCCCTCTCCCTCGCTTCAGGATAGGACCTAGAGTTCAATTTGCAAGCTGTTGTGGGGTGGAAGCTCGATGTGCAGCGGCAGGTTGTGCATCTCGCGGCTTCCAGCTGTTAACCACCTTCAGGGGGACTCTGGTTTTTGACTGGGGGCCAATGGAAACCCGAAAGTGTCACTATGGTCCCATCTGACACCGTAAAGGCACACTTCCCTGCAGCAGGGCTAGGTATAGGATTGACCTCCAGGTGGGGCTGGTTTGAGGGGGGGAACTCTACCTGTGTGTACAGCAGAATAGAGTGGCCAAGCAGTGGCACAGATGAACGCAGAGCCGCCTTGACTATCCAAGCACCATCCAGGTAGCTTCGATTTGGCCAAAGCCAGCGTATATTGACGCCCCAAGACCTTTATTCCTCGGTTGCTGGACCAGGGTGCGTGTCCCTTTTGGCCCTCGGATCGGAGAAACTGCTGGACCAGGTTTCCTTTTGGCCATTTTTGCCCTATCGAGGTCAGAGGATGCTTCTGTATGGCTACCCGGAGCGTCACAGAGATCAGGGATCCTGTTCAAGGAATCTCCTTCACGGCTCTACGCTTTGACAGGATCACCGCCTCAAGACCCCTCTGCAACTTAATCGCCCTTGCTTTGCTGCTTCGACCAGCCGGCCCTGAGCAGACGAAGTGCCTGACGCTGTCAGGACAAACAAGCGCGCTGTTGGTTGGAACACTACCCCAGTGTGCCCAGGGTTGGTGCTGGGGCTTTCGGGTCGGAGTCGGAGCTTGAACCGCCCTCCAGAGCCTCGCAGGGAGGGAAGTTAAAACAAGACGCCTCGGTCTGTACCGAGATGGCACAATAGCACAGTTTGGATTCCTCCCTCTGCTTCCTGACCCTAGAGGGTTAAATTAGGAGGGTACAACGCCACCCTTTTCTCCTCCTTCCTGCCTGCCCCCTCCCCTTACCTTTAAAAAGTTAAAAAATGTCTGCAGTAGAAATCTCTTAAAGGGGCGGTGCCGGTGTACGAGTTCTCTTGGCAGGAGTCACTGGGAAGGCTGGCTAGGGGCGTGAGTTCGCTCCACCAGCACCAAAACACTGAAGAAAAAAAAAGCGAGCGAAAGAGAGAGAGAGAGGGGGAGAGAGAGTGGGGGGGGGCTGGGAGGAAGGAAAAAAAGGGGGGAAAAGGCGGACAGACACACACTTTAGATAAGGACAATTAGTCACTAGCGAGACCCAGTAGGAAGAGAGGTTTAAATCTGAGGAATTGAATGAGGGTGCTCTGTGCCTTCCCTGAAGCCATGCCCTCCAGCAACTCCCGCCCCCCCGCGTGCCTAGCCCCGGGGGCTCTCTACTTGGCTCTGTTGCTCCATCTCTCCCTTTCCTCCCAAGCTGGAGGCAGGAGACCCTTGCCTGTAGACAGACCTCCAGGTTTGAAGGAAAAGACCCTGATTCTACTTGATGTGAGCACCAAGAACCCAGTCAGGACAGTCAATGAGAACTTCCTCTCTCTGCAGCTGGATCCGTCCATCATTCATGATGGCTGGCTCGATTTCCTAAGGTAAGGCAGGGGCTTCGATGGATCATTTTAAATTTTTAGTAACACCACCCCAACCCCTTCCTATCCCCCATTCCAAAGGGGAAAGAAGAAAATAAGTCAAGCAGATCTCTCAAAGAGAAGAAAGGAGGTTTTCCTTCCCCTGGATTATGTGCTATGAGGCTGTAACTAGTGATTGAGAAAAGCAATGTTTTCTATTAAGATGCACATGTTTGCAATGCAGAAGGCATTTCAGAAACTTATCAGTTATGACTGAAAAAATGTTGTGCTTACATATATCCACAATTAGCTTCCCCATCTCCTTCTGAAAAAGAAACAAGAGTTTCAGGGCAGTTACAAAAGCGAAGAAAAAGGTCCCAAACAACAAAGACCTGAAAGGAATGTGTGTGTGTGTGTGTGTGTGTGTGTGTGTGTGTGTGTCTGTATGTTTGTGAGACAGAGAGAGGAGTGTGTGTGTGTGTGTGTGTGTGTGTGTGTGTCTATGAGTGTTCGAGCGGGGATTGCACGAAAGTGGAATTTTCCACGGAAAGATCGTTTCGGCAGTTTTCTCTCCCAGAAAGAAAACGAATTTAAGCAGAGGCTTGAGTGGTGGGCAAGTTGGATCGGAGTTAAAATTTTTTATTTTATATCCTCTGCTGTCATCTCCAGACTTCAGGACTTTGTAAGGCGCTTTTTATAGACAGAATGCCCCCCTCCCCCCAGTTCCTCCTCCTTAAATCTCCTGCGGTAACTGCACAGTTTAGCTTTTCTTTAAAGAAAAAAAAAATCCTCGCTGGGGTCACAGCATTATAAGGGAAGCGGTAAGAGTCCCAGAAATACTCCAGGGAGGCTTTAGAGATCTGAACCCCGCACCAGCGGATTAGCAAACCCGGAGGTTTGAGATCCCCTTTGCTCTAGAGCTTGTAATCTAATTGGGCTCACATTCTCCCCGGGTTGTTGCAGTTTGGCAGTTAGGCAACTGCGATCCCTTCCCAACCAGGGACAGAGTTGCAGTGTAAAATAAGAAATAAAGCCTCTGCAATGTCGAATCCCACTGCTGAGTTTTAAAAAATTCCCTCCAAGTTGGAGCCTCAGCCTGTGGGTTCCCCTCCAAGAGCCCTCAGCGCTCTCAGTCCCGCTCTGCCCGAAGGCCGCGTCTGTGTGCGTCCTTCATATTTTTCACTCCTTGCGAAATTCGAGTTTTGCTTCTTGAGATGCGCCTGCCTCTCAACTCTTGGGGTTGTCCCCCTGGCCCGAGTCGGGTCTGTGGACGCGGCAGGTAGCGGGAGGCGCCACGTGGAGCGCTCCTTCCAGCAGGAGGAAGGGTAGTCGGAGGACTGAGAGGCTGTAGCTGCCTTTGCCGAGGCCGTTTCGGTTCCTGCTGGTGCGATTGCTGCGAGGGAGGAACAGCCAGCTCCACGCGGCCCAGCTTCCTCTTTGAAAGCTCTTTCGTGCAGCAGAGCGCGTCTCTGAGCTTGTCCGAATGTAGGGTGCAACAGGGGTTTTCCGCAATGCTTGCCCCACTTTCATTCCTTCAGCTGCACAGACCGCCCCCCACCACCCCCCACCTCCCAGCTTGCTTTCTTCTTTTTAAAAATCAGCCTATTCGCCTAATGTTTTCCTGCCGCTGAAAAGAGTCTGGAAGGCAGCTTTTCGGGGAAGAAGTCCTGGCGGAGCGCATTCGCATTGGCTGTGCAGGCTTCCGGATGAAAGGTTTTTGGAAATGCTGTTTCCCCAGGACTGGATTCGCGCGGACGTCTCCTTTGCGATAGGAGGCCCACGCGACGCCCTGACTGTGACTGTCCTGGAGCGCGGTCCCAGAGACCTCAGCCTAACGACCCTTCTGGTTACTAGACCCTGGGGTAGCCACGTCTCATCTCAAAAACTCTCCAAAAGCGGAGTGTCTGTTTTTTCTGTCTCGTATCCACCTCCGTTATGATGCTCTTTAACGTCACCATTTGGATTTGGGCTTTCAGAATCTGAAACAGCAAAGCATTAAAAAATAATTTACAAACCCGGAACTCAACAGCTGATTCCCTTTAGCATTATCAGTGTCTGCATTGCTCCTTCCCCACTCCTTTCCAAAGCAGTAGCCTTTGGCTTTTAAAAAGACCTATCGATAGAAATCCTGACCTTAAATAGATGTAGATGCTTTTGTTTTGGTGCTTATTTAGTATCCCCTAACGCGCAGGTTCCATATTTCGGGAAGCTTCATTTTCCCTAGCGGTTCCAAACGGCCCCAAATGGGAAAGAAGAAAGATGGAGCTTAACTTCGGGGTGGGGTGGGATGGAGGATGTTACCTTTACTGGGATCAGGCAGAATTATTCAGAGTCCAAAGAGACTTTGCCTTTACACACACACAAACACACACACACTCTCTCTCTCTCTCTCTCTCTCTCTCTGTGTGTGTGTGTGTGTGTGTGTGTGTGTGTGGTGGCGGCGGCGGTGGTGGTGGTGCGGGATTGGAGAAGTGTTCCTGTAGAGGCAAGGGTTTACCCTGGAATCTCTCCTTCCGGGGATTTAGAAAACAATGCGGTTTTCACAATATAGTGAAAAAGGAAAATCAACTTGGACATTAAAAGTAAAAAGTAGGAATCCACTTGAGCTCAGGCGACCGGCCTGGTCTCAGAGTAACAAGGAAGGTTTTGCCTCCTGCACGGAGGTTTGTGGGGCCGCTGGGGCTTAGGAGGCAATGCCGGCTTTCAGCATACAAGTTTTTGGCAACTGTCGGAAGCCAGAGGTAGGCGCGCCTGGCGCGTCTCCGCCCGGAGCGCTTTCCTGGCAGTGGCAGAAGCCGGGCAACTGCGCCTTAGCGCCGTGCTCGTGCTCTTAGCGCATACATCTCCACCCCATACACTCTATGAACAAACACAATCTGTAGCCTTTAGGAGATCAGGATCTGGGTGTCTGCGGGAGGGGACCGCTGCGAGTGCCTGGAAGCGGGAGGCGTAGCCCCGGGAGCCGGGCGGTGAGGTCAGGCTGGGGCGCGGGGCACTAGGGAGACGCTGAGGAGCTGCCAGGGGCCAACCTGGATTGCGGGCTGAGGCAGGCACAGAGCCTCTAGCCTCGGCCAGGTCGCCGTCAGGGAGTGGGAAGAGGGCCCTTTTCCGTGGCCCACGCGCTCTTGTCCTGTCTCAGGAACCTTTCCTCTCTTTTTCTCTACCTCTGCAGCTCCAAGCGCTTGGTGACCTTGGCCCGGGGACTTTCTCCCGCCTTTCTGCGCTTCGGGGGCAAAAGGACCGACTTCCTGCAGTTCCAGAACCTGAGGAACCCGGCGAAAAGCCGCGGGGGCCCGGGCCCGGATTACTATCTCAAAAACTATGAGGATGGTGAGAAACTTGATTACCATTCTTTATCTGGGGAGCGGAAGCGAGCACCGGCTGTGTGTGTGTGTGTGTGTGTGTGTGTGTGTGTGTGTGTGTGCGTGTGCGCGTGCGCGCGCGCGCGCGCGCGCGCGTTGAGGCAGATTTGGAGAGCCTGGTTTCAGCTCGCCTGAAAAGTTGGAAGCTTTAGATGAGGGGACACTGCAATGTGGAACTCCTGACCTCATTGTGCAAAGAGGGGTTCTCACCCAGCTGCTGGCCTTTTACTGGCCAGCTGTCTCGGAGGCTGCGAGCTGGTAGCCCAAACTGCTGGCAGGCTGGTCCTGCGGGTTGTAGATGCAGCAGGTTTCTTGAGAAAATTCAGCCACGTTCATAGATTATTAAAAGTCAGAGTCATATTTCATAGCTAAAATTCTAGACAAGTGCCTTTTTGTTTTTCTTATTTCTTGCTTTCCTGGGATAAGGGTACAGAAGGGATTCAGCCG